TGAATCAAGTGACTGAAGATCCTGAGACCTTTGAAGATGCCTTGAGGAGTGAGAACTCAGCTCAATGGGAGAGAGCCATGGATTGTGAAATCGCTTCTTTAAAAGAAAATAAGACCTGGATTTTGATAGACCTTCCACCAGGTGCAAAGGCAATTCCATGTAAGTGGGTCTTCCGCTGAAAAATCATCCAGATGGGAGCATTGACAAGTTCAAAGCAAGACTTGTAATCTAGGAATTCAATCAGCGTTACGGGATTGATTATAGTGAGACTTTTAGTCCAGTGGCAAAGTTGGAAACCATTCGTTCGGTTCTCAGTATTGCTGCAAGTGAGAAAATGTGTCTGACCCAATTTGACGTACCAACAGCCTTCTTGTACGGAGACCCTGATGAAAGAGTCTACATGAGGAAACCAGAAGGATATGAGGATGGAACCAACAAGGTTTGCTTACTGAAAAAGAGTTTATATGGACTTAAGCAAGCACCTAGATGTTGGAACAAGCGTTTTGGAGTTTTTCTTCAATAACATGGATTCAAGGCCAGCGAAGCTGATCCGTGTTTGTATATTAGGGAAAGAAATTGTAAGAAGCTTCTACTTGTGATCTATGTTGATGATGGTCTTCTAGCAACGACTGATCAGCAAGATTCGGACAACTTCATAAAAAATTAAAGTCGGAATTCAAGATTGTTTCGAGAAGAGCTAATTTTTTCCTGGGTCGAGAAATTGCCCAAGAAGAAAAGTGCATTAAGATTAGCCAGAAGTCTTATGCAAAGAAAATTTTACAGAGATTCAATTTCTCAGATTGCAAACCAGTGCCAACTCCTATGTCCAAAGAGACAGAGACTTTAGCATCTGGGAAAGTTGATGAGTCAATCAAATTTCCCTATAGACAGACAGTTGGAGCCCTGATGTACCTGATGCTTGAAACAAAACCAGCCTTGGCCCACAGTGTAGGATTTATTTCGAGGACACTCGAAAATCCAACTCAAGATAATGTTGTATGAGCCAAGAGGATTTTTCGGTACATAGCAGATACTCTAGACTTTGGAATAACCTATTGAAGAAATGAAGAAGTTGGAATTTTAGAAGTTTACAGTGACGCAGACTTTGGCGGTCGGTTGCTGTAAAACAGGGCGCTCCGCATCTGGAGTTCTCGTAAAGTATGCAGGAGGTGCAATTTCCTGGATGAGTCAACGACAGGCAGTTGTTACAACCTCAACCATCGAAGCAGAGATTATTGCGGCAAACGAAGGAGCCAAAGAAGCAGTTTGGTGAAGCAGACTTTTCAAGGCATTGTCAAACTCTGGAATATTCCTATCATTCAAGTTGACAACTCTGCAGCGGTGAGACTAGCACAAAATCCGGAGTTTCATCGCAGAACCAAACACATTCCCATCAAACACTTTTTATAAGAGAAAAAGTGACAGAAAGAAAACTTGGTGTTTAACAAATCTCCACTGAAGATCAATTGGCGGACATCATGACCAAGCCTTTACAGAGAACACCCTGAAGATTCTTTTGGAGAAGATAGGACTTGTAAATTCAACTAAGATAAACAAGGGAAAGTGTTGAAGTTATGTTTAGTAATAGTTGAATTCGATATTTTCTAAGTTTTATGCTATAGTAGGCGCTGGCATGATATCCGTTGCTTTTGTATTGTTTGTTTGTTTCTTTTGTTTTCCATGGCAACCGCGCCACACCTATTCTACATATATATATATATATATATATATATCTATATATATAAAAGAAAGTCGTGTTAGTTAACTCCTTTATAACTGAAGAACGGCACTAAAAAAAGGTAGCAGGACCAGGAGAAGGTAATAAACGACACTAAACGACAAAAAGAGACAAACATATTTGCATATATGGATTATCTTGCGGGAGAATAAGAGATCGCAAATACAAAGTTTTCTATTATCCCCGTCTCCTCTTTGTGCGATGCTCCGTAGCTTCCCCTAAGCATAGACGTGTGTATGTGTGTACGTGTGTGTTGAAGTTGACCGGTTAATGTTTTTGTTTGGAGAAGGTTACTAGGATACTTTTGAAGTGAAAACTCCTTTAGAGAACACTAAACGACACTAAAAGGAAACAAACATATTCGCTTATATGGTTTAGCCTACGGGAGAAAAAAGAGCACACAAATTTAATGTTTTCTATTATCTCCCTCTCCTCTTTGTGCGATTCGTAACTTCCCCTAAACATAGACGTGCGTGTGTTTGTACGTGTTGGTTGAAGTTGTCCGGTTGAAGTGTTTGTTTGAATGAGACTTAGTAAGTGTAGGATACTTTTTAATACTTTTTGAGGTGAAAACTTCTTTGGAAGATACTAAACGAATGTCGGATACACCTCCTACTCAACTACATTAACAACATTCCAATTTAAATTACGCGCCATTTATTACAAAACAAAGTATGTCTTAGCTTAAACAATACGAATTGAATCGGCGTAACGGGATGAGTTCTGGGTGCGCGCTCAACGGTGCTCTCAGAGTGAGTGTCTTCATACATGATTCGCCTTTCCCTCGAAACCTTCGAATCCCTTCTGCGCTTGTCGCTCTTACTCGAGACACACACCCAGACCACATCGATGCAAGACTGCACCTCCATTAGCTGATTCAACTTCTTATGTCTAGATGGCGTCCTTGTTCGTATTCGAATCCAACATATATTATATCTAGATTTTATATGCAAACCAAACTTCGTAGTGTAGGTACGTCATAATAACCGGTTGGTCAATATAGGCGGAGTCATAATAAAAGGATTCTACTGTATTTCTTTTTCAAACCCCTTTTTTTGTCTAAATTATTTGTTTTTATTTTTTTTATACTGTGGCAATAAAAAATACTTACAACCGTAAATTTTTACTTTTTTATCACCAACCCCTATTTTTTTATAGTCATTTTAGTAATTTATTCATTTCTCATCCCGCTCAAAGGGATGAGACTGAAGCCGATCTCCTGTTTCACTCACACAATAAGACTTCTCTCACTCCCTACACAGTTTTCGGCCATCATTATTGTTTACGTATCAAGTGTAGTTGTAACGTTTTCAATTATTATAATGCTATCTTAGGGTAACTCTCATATTCATAATAATAAAATTATTTATTTTAAGTGTATTTGGCACGATTAGTTCAGTTAATCAAGTTTTAGTTAAACAAGTGATTTACATAACCTTAAAAGTACTCAACACGTGTCACGAGCTCCCCCCAACAACGGCTTTTTTGTTGTAAGTATACTTTTTTTTATATAATTATGACAAAGTAATTTTGTAGTAAAATTCAATTTTTTACAACTTTTGCTTCAAATGTTTTTTCATAAAACTAATATTTTTGCTATAATCCTGGCCCTAATTATATACACACCATGTAATCCGACATGGTCATATGTCATATGTTTGTACCTACTTTAGGATTTGTAATTTGTCGGATTACAAGGTACTTTTTTGTAAAAAAATCCGGACTGTAAGGGGTCTTAGGCACTTTTCTATAATCCGACAAATTCGCTCATCCGACACTGCCCTGCAAAGTGATTGTCGGATTACCGGGATTCCACTGTATATTTTGTTTATGGATGTTTGTGTGTATCCGTTTTCTATTCCTATTTTGATTATTTTATTGTATTTATTGTTGTAATTTGTTTTGTTTAGTGGTGTGTTTGTTAATCGGTTGAAACTAAATCAGAAATATGTGTTTTTGTGTTGTTGTGGTTGATTTGATGTGGCGTGAATTATGTTGTTTGTGTCTGCTGGGTTTCGGTAAATGTTAAAAATGAATTCTGTTTTGTTTTTTGTGATGATTATGTCTAGAAAGTTATACTGTTATGTGTTTCTGTTTCGGTGGTGAATTTTAAGTTGTTGTGGGTGTTGTTAATTATGTGTTATATTTCTTTTATGTTGTGTTGTTCATGTATTATAAATAAAATGTCTTCTACGTATCTGTACCAGTAAATTTGTGTATATTTTTGTTTTATGTTTCTGATTATTGTTTCTTCTATTGTTTGTAAAAATATTTCGCTAATGAATCCTGAGATTGGGGATCCCATTGCAACCCCTGTGTGTGTGGTGTATATTGTATTATTAAATGTGCAGTAATTTTGTTTTAATAGTTGTGTTATTGTGTCTGTGTAGTATTTTATGTGTGTTATGTCTGTGTTTGATACTATCATTTTTGTTGTATTGTGTTTATTGTTTCTGTTGTGGGTATGTTTGTGTATAGGTTTGTTATGTCAAATGAATATAGTTTTGTATTATTGTTGATATTGTGAGGGTATAGTGTACAGTAAGTGTTTACTTTACTTAGCTTGTTAATAATATGTACACACCCTCTCGTAAAACTATTGTTTTTAATATTAATATTACACGTGAACACACGCTGGTTCGTGTCCCTTGCCACGTTGGGATTTAAACGAGTAATTCTGAAAAAGTGGCACGCTCTACCGGCGAATGACGTTCGGGCTCATGTGTATCTATACCATCTATACTTCTTGTTTCTAATTTTGGAGAGGTTATTAGACATATACTCAATCCTGGAGAGCATGAAGTATAGATATAAGGAGTCCGAACGGTATAGGCGTTCTCCGTAGTAGTCATGGTACATGATTATAAACACAGCTAATACTTCTCTTTTCTGCCACTGGCTGCGCATGGAGTGAACCGATGTACGTTGGTTCGTGTCCATAGCAACTGAGACAATTCATTTACATGACGTTCCTATGTTTCTATATTTCGCGATTATTTATTTATTGTTTCATGTTTCTTGGAATTTTTTCCGGAGGTGTCCATAGCATAGTAATTATTTAAACGAGTACACTAAGGAATAGTGGCGCGCTCTACCGGCGAATGTTCTGTCCTGGATCGAGACCATTATTTTAACATGACGTTCGGTCTCCTGTGTATCAATACTTCGTGCAGGGGAGGATACAAATTTGTGCTTGTCGCTCCCACCTTTTGCATGCGCGAACATCGACGATGATAAACGAGTACCTTGACATTTGCTTTATCTTGCTAAAGCTCACACTAGATGTCGCAACACTGATCAGTGGCACAACCACATGAATATCTGGGATGGATAACATTATAGAAATTGTATATGTGCAATATGGTCGAGAATATAATCAACGATGAGTGATAAATTAAATGAGACCTTACATGTGAGACTGGCCTATCTTACTTCACATATCAATAATCAGCCAGTTTTCTTAAACAATGTGAAAGATATGTTTCAAAGTCAAATAGCCTCAATCAGGTCATTGCAACGAATTACCAACGTCAAAGAATTGGCGAAATTACTGAAAAAGAGGGACTTATTAACAACATCATGTTTGGATTCTATTGCATACATGTTACCTCCTGATTTATACCAAGAATACAGTAAAATAAAAGGTGCACATCAAGTCACAATACACCCTCACATGTCAAGTAATAATCACAGATCAAATATATCCAATATCATAGGTTCTACTTCAGAGGAAAGAGATTCAATTAATTTGAATGGTATGTTGATAACTTTTTATGCAATTATTAGTATTTACTTTTATTTCTTTAATGCAATCAATCCTTTCTATTTTTCAATATAAGATTGTGTACACCAAATTTTGTTAAGTAAAATAAATTATTACTTAATAAATATTTAACTAGTTTGAAGTGAGGAGCTCTTGACAATGGAATCAATCTAACATGTTATTAAATAGCTGATGTTATGGCTTTTATTGCAGGTAATCTGGATAAAATTTACAGGATTATTTGTGGTGAATTGAGTCCCCAACATTGTAAAGATATGGCAAGGAAATTGTGCATTAAGGAATGCCACATTGATGAACTGTTTTTATGTTCTACCAGCACACATGAGTGTATAAAGAAGGTGTTACAGATGCATGAAGAAAACTGTGACCCAAAAACATGGAGGCAATCTCTTTTGAATGCCTTAGATGGTGCAAAACGAGAAGACGTTCGAAAAATGGTTGAAAGAAAACTCGACGACTTGGACATAACAAGGCCTTATAAATTGTAATGTGATGATGCAATTATAGAATTAACTATTTAATGAGAATTTCTATTTACATTAAGAAGATGATGTAATTTTGTTAAAGGAAACAATTAACCTTTTTGTTCAGAGCAATCTATGAGTATCCTAAAAGTATTAGAGATATTTTAAAACCACTATGCTAATAACATAGACAATTAGATTCTCATTGGGCCTGTATACATTGATGCAGCAATTGTGGAAGATTAGTTTTTACTGGACTCTTCAAGAGGCGTTTCAGAGGCCTTTTTTTAGTAAACTGTGTTTAATTATTTAACAAACACTACTCCTGGGGATCATATAATACCACACCAATGAAATACAATGGTGGTAGTATGAGAGGGTGAGTATAAGCTAAGTAAAGTTAAGTAAACACTTACTGTACGCTATACCCTCACAATATCGCTGTATAACGATATATTACTAAATATTTACTACTACTATTACTAAACTACTACTACTATTACTAAATATTTAGTAATATATCGTTTTACAGCGATATTGTGAGGGTATAGCGTACAGTAAGTGTTTACTTAACTTTACTTAGGTAATACCACACCAATGATGACCAAAAAATAATTAAATGTAGTACCTGTTTTAAAAACCTAACAGTAAAATGAATTATAAATATATTGAGTTTCTTCGTAATAATTCAGCCAGCAGTTTAACAACATAAATGTAAATATACCTCTTGTCCTTGATAAGACAGATTCGATGGGATAGCTTTTAAATTAATTGGTTCAGGTTAATGCGTCCAATCACACAATAATATCGCACTGCACTGTATTGGCAAATAAAGCGAGCCCAAGCGAAATTAATGTCTGTAAATTATCGTTTGAAAGTTATATTTGTTCCGCAGTCCCATTTGAAAGTTGAAATCTCAACTTTTAATAAAATCCCAAAGATTACATGAATAAATGCATTTTAAATATTTTTAATTATATTCATATGCGTAAGTGCATACTCATGTCATGTGAAAGTTTGTAGTTATATTTATATAAATAAAAATTAAAACATGTTATTTTTTATAATATAATCATTTACACCACAAGGAAAGTTGCATGATCATAAACGTGATTTTCTCAGTTCGGTTCCCAAGCATAATAAACAAAAAATCTGTATGTATACTGCCAAAACTGAAAAATAAAATCAATACTGGGGCAAAAAAATAATATCTCGAAGGCAACCGACCGACAAAACAGTTATTAGCAAGTTGACATTACTATTGTGGTTAAAGACAGGCTGACAGACAAGAACTATATACGGTACCTAACAAGTACACAACATCAGTTTTCGGACTCGGCGTGCCGGAAAATATAAGTAGCAAATTGTAACTACGCATCGATCAACCTATGGATGGAAACATATTCGTTGCGGGATAGTAACTTAAAAATCATAATGGGCCGCAAATTAAACTTCGTGCTTTTCAATAATCTCGCATACGATTGCTCTGGGTTGATCTGAGGGCGTCGCTGAGTTCACTTTTTATATATTGTACGATGTTTTGGTCATTGAGCTGGCCTTATCGATCGTGTCCTTGTGGGCTTGATAACCAATTTGATCCTTGGGTTTTATACGGAGGCGCTCCTTCAGCTTACGCCCGATTTCTAGCACTGCTTCGGAACGAGTGGCATTCTTAGTCCATATCCCTATACATTTATTCGTTAACATATTGTTTAACAGAATAATGAATTAAATAGATTTATATACATTTTTACTTACCAATTTTATCACCCTTTGACCTAATATTGACTACAGCACCACATACATCATCAGAATTCTCAAATGCTTCACCAATTAAGCATAAAATCTTTTTGAAAAAAAAATGTAAGACAGTATATATATAAAGCACATAATACTCATAACACAAACACCAGTAATAAATACTCACAATATCTAACCAAAATCGGTCTAAATCATTTCCGCGCTGTTTTCTATCTAGGCTAATAAGCCATCTGCCACCTCGTTTATTAGTCTCATCCTCCCACATTGGTCTGACACCATGCTTGAATAAGGAGTAATCACATCCCTGCCTCAGCTCACTTGCCAATTTAATGTGATTGTATAAACTATAGAAAAAGAAATAATAACATTAGTAATCCCTGCTTATTAAAGACTTAAATTTAAAGAATTTACCTCCAAAAATCTTCCACTGTGTCAAAGGAAGCAATCACTTTCTGGTTCTTCTCCCAGGTATTGGTACGATCATTTTCAAAATACCAAAGTGTCCACTTGTTCTGCAAGGGATGCTTAATGGAAAAGTCAACAGGGTCAACAATGTCCTGCTCCTTATCTTCATTTCTTTCATTCTGCAATATCAAAGAACGCATTTTATCACTTTCCCTACTGAACCTATGCCGAACGCCGTCAGCTCACGACCAAGAATGAAAGATCAAAATTAGTCGAAGCACAATTGCACCCCGTGTGCAATGCCAACGTGTGTTAAACAGTGATAAAACGTGCCCGAACGTAGTGGCGGTAGAAAAAGACCCAATATGGTACCCTATATTGTACGTTGGTGACAACATAGGCTTTTGAATCACAATAGGAATAAAGTTAAATTTTGCAATCTTATCTGTAAACACGTGGCGTACGATGGTCAAAGATTTGACACTATTGCTTTACCTCGGTTTCAATATTGTTCGTAGACATTTTGATGAAGACCGATCGCAGCACAAAAACGAACGTATAGGTTATAAAATGTACAGATTTCAGAGTCCTCCGTTCACTATTGCCAACATAATAAATTCCCTACTGAATCGTTTGTGCGTACTGTACGTATCGGAACAAACTATGTAGTTTAAAAATTTAATTTTCCTAATACTTCATCTTCAGAAAACAAACAAAATTTATTAACAATATATCAAGAAAAAAATAATTCTTACCCACATAATTATGATTTATGATTAAAAGACATAAACACTGAAATTCTAACATGCACGAATGACGGACGGTCCCGAAAACAAATATATCTAATATATTTGCACAGCTTGCTTTTCATTATTATAATTACATATTATTATTTTCCTAATATTCCTAATTTCCAAAACTCCGATATTGCCAACTAAAATAAAAAATTATAAAATATATGACAAAACTTTTCGGTTTTTTATTACTTACCATTTTAATTACAAAGAATACCCGTACTTTTTCCATATAGCAAAGTTTATATAATAGTATATAAAATAGTATCAAGTGGGCTAAATAGGTGTTTTTGCATAAGATTGATTAGAAGCGATCGCTATGTTAATCAATAGTGTTTAACAACGTTTTCCGACGTGATGCTTACGATATTTTTTATACTTCCACTCTACTTTTACGTTTAAGTTTTTGTATTTCAACTTTTGTATTTTATATATATATATATAAGCCGGTGTTATAGCGTTCGCCGCCTTCCGGTACCAAGTTTCCATCCTCTCCTGTCGTCCGTGTAGATTTTCATCAAATTGTATTCGAAAACATTTTCATCATTCCCAACTTTTTGTGCAAAAGTCACATCACTGTCAACGTAAATTTCAGCGTGTTTAAATGTTTCCTCGACATCAAAAATGGTTAAATTTGTATCGTGAAGTAGTAGCCATTTATAAGGTACACCAAACATTTCATATTCATTCGCTTTCTCAATTAAAAAGTCAGTAAAATTACACGAAACATCGACAATGATTAAAGCATGTTCAACTGCTTTATATTCAATGTAAAATCCATCAAAATCTTTCAAAATCAATGTAGATATACCATATAATGATAGTCTTTTTATCATTGATGTAATATCTGTAAATTTATTTGTTAGAATATGTTTAAAACGAGTTAAATTGCAATAATTACCTTTGTCTGCCGAACGACAAGAGTAAAACGTTACCATTGAAACAGAATCATAATGATTTGTTCGTAAAAGACTCAAAACAAGTTCACCTTCTTCAAAAATGATTAAAGACTCCCCATTAATACTTGCAGCAACTAGAAATAGCAGTAGAATTGTTTTTTCGTTCATTTTGCGAGCGAAAATGTTTGATTTCTTTGCACAATGCGTGATTTTATAGATTTTTATATTTGTTGTGCAAATTTGCAGAATAATCATTGTAATAACATCAAATTACGCTTAATTCTCTTGATTTGCAAAGGATAATAAGTTTACTTAGCATTTACAGCACAGAAATTGTATTATAATTTCACTTACTTTAAAATTTAATTCGAAATTTCTAATTACAAAATTACCTTTATCAAATATTTAAAACATTGCGCTCTCTGTGTTCTACAAAACTTAATAATTAATTAAAGCATATTAAACCAGTAGATTTAATCTAAATTATTTATTACAATATGTAATCTTTTAATATTTATTCACGTTATTGCATTATTTACGTGATATTACACAGTGTAGCTTATTCATACCAGATGGCGCTATATGTATTGTGGTAAGAATAAAATATACGCGTGGAATGCGGCCGAAATGCGCATGCGCCGCAACTTTACGAACCGTCGGCCGATCGGCTCTCAACTTCTAGCGCTTCTACCGGTTTGTACATGCGAATCCGCGTTGCACGGTCGCACATCTCGTCTCGTGTTTGTGTTGTTGCGCGTCTCCTGTGTGTGTTCGTCAAATTCGGGTGCAAGTGCATGTTATCCCCCAAAATACGTAAGCATTCACCTCTCACATCGCAGAGATCCACATAAATAAAGTGTTACCAGACTTGAAAATCAGTTTAACAGTGTACCGTTCTTCAGCGGTGTGAATTCTATCGAACGAGTCCGCATCCAAAACATGAGAATGTAACGGTTTACGGTGCATCCACAGGTGTCCTCGTCGAGATAGTTTCGGGCGTGAATTGATTGTTTATCAATCGTTGGTTGGTGATAGTTATGTTGGCATAGGTGAAGAAAACACGAGAATTGTTATCGCGGCAGGACGGGAGGACATCTTGGTGCTCGTGATGACTCCTTCGGCGCACCAGCGGCGACAATGAAGAACAAGAACAAGAGGAACAAACAGAGTGTTGTTAGTGTGGCTATGGGCATTGCAGGAAAAATGGAAACATTCGTGCGTCGGATTGGTTTTGGATTGGGAGTTTTCATCGTTACAGTCTGCATCGTCGCACCTACAACTCAAGGTAGGCAAAGGCAAATTACTTTCAACCATGTCATACATTACCACTTCTTCTCATTCAGTCCATTGACTTTACTTAAACTAAGTTATTCTTGAGTTATACAAACAAAACAATTGAAAGTCGCATCAAACATTAAAAAACCATTGTTTAATGTTAATTTCAGGTGTTTTAAGTGTAAAATTGTGCAATTTTGTGTTAATTCTTACCATTAATGAATGATTAGTCATTGGAGTTAAGTTGTATCCTTGCAAACATCTTTCTAATTGAAATTCACATTATTAATCAGCCAGACGAGGTGAACCGGCAAGAATTGTCGGTCAACTTTGCTGCCATAATGTTTGTTTCTCCATTAATGTTATTTAATACAATATACAATAGTAGGTTAACAAAGATAGCCTTGAAATAATAATGGCAATGCATAAGTTGCACACCATGCACTTCTCGATGTGTTTTTTTTTTATTTTATTCTCTGTGGTATATTACGAACGTGCCATTTCTGTGTTGATTCTTATCGCGCCATTGTTTAATCTTAATTCCGATTGAATTATTGCAGTAGGAGTGGTGTTTTTTTTTTCGGTGTAAAATTGTAAATTGTGGGATTTCAGTGGACATGCATACGGACACGTTTGCATTGGGATTTATAGTATTAGTATTAGTGTGAAAGCGTAGTAGAATAATTCATTGCCAGGTGCAAGTTTTGTCGGGTTGTTGGCACCAACCCTCGAACCAGTATTGAGGGTGATTTTTGCCGACGCGCCAACATGTTGGGGTTTTTGTTCGACGGGGCTAGAATTTCTCTTGCATCGCATCCGGTTTTACGTTTTTACCTAGATAGAGGCTCATACCTCGAACGCCAGGCGCAACCTTCACTCATTCTGTCTGTATGGTATACAAGAGGATGCGTGTAATGGTTGGGTTAGGTGGGGAGGGGCTATTAGTGGAGTTTGAACAGTTGAAGGTATGGGCGGTAGTTTTTGCCCTTTTGAACGGGCTTGTCATGCGGTGCAATGATGTATATGTAATTATAATATAAAACTATTGTGAATTCAATTTATTTACTGTTTGTTTGTGATCTTTCGTTTATTTAGTTATCAAAACTGCTCACTATTCTAAAGTATTTTTTAAATGTTGCACTACACCACTATTATTACAAACAAATATATTTATAATAATTTTCTATATAATTTGTTTTACACTAATTTCCATTACAAAAACATAACCATATGTAAAAGCCGAAACTGAAATCACGGCCGCATTTCGGTTTCGGTCGAAAAAATCAGTTTCGGTCGGACCTTACCTCTTAAACGGCGCCGTTCATCGCATTGCGCCAAATCAGAAGTTGCCCAATGTCGTCAGTTGTTGAGATGTCGTCACTACATACACAAATAAATTTGAAATTTAAACTTAGGTGTCATTCTATTCGCACCACATGTCAGGTGAAAATTGCACGCAGTACGATTCACGACATTAAGGCAACTCTTGGGCATAAGCATGTGCCAATCAGTATATTTTAGACTCACTTATAATCCGTGTAAAGTATTCTTTAATTTACAACTGTGGAATTATTTTAATTCGGTAGTTTAGCGCTAAGATTATTTGAGAAACTAAAAAAAATTACATGAATATGAATTCATAGCCGCTTGCAATACGTACATAACATTTTTAATAAATTTGTACACCAAACAAACACAAATATGTGACACCAAAATAGTCACTTCCCAGATAATTGTTTGTATAATTCCGGCACGTAATTATCGAACTTAGCTCGAAAGTAATTCCCTGCAATCGGTTCCCCAAGAGAGTACTTCTGTGCAAAATTGCGTATCTTAAAATTACCTCGCCTCTTTCCAGAATTATTCCCCAAAATAGGCTCGTCGCACTTTATTTTCTGTTGTTGTTTGTACAATAAAAAGATATAACGATGCAGATCGGTTCCCTCCGGTGGTCCAGCTCCGATATATGCACTCAACACCTCCCCGTCATTGACGTCATTCCCAGGAATATTAACAACCAACCAATGATGCCATTCCCGAAACTTAGGGTCTTGACGACTTGGCGCGTCCGGATCAACCATGACCAGAGTATAATAAGGGGTTATATTGGGTGCACTAGTGCCAACGCTACGTCGTAGACTCCAATTTACCGTGGGAATATCTTTCACCTGCGTGGGTGTTAAAATGTTACCCAAGTCCACCTTCGCTTTACTGGGATAGATAATTTCTAATATTTCTTTGGGAACAGAATCAATTACGTCTGGTGAAATCGAATCTCGATCCATGTTTAAAAGAGCTGTATTTCAAATGTCAGAATATTAACAAAATGTTAAATAGTAGATTGTTTTTGTCATTAATTTAAAAAAAAAAAGCCAACTTTGGGTTCATTTTAGAACTATTACGCCAACGTATTCTCTAGATAAAAATGATTAATTCCAAACTTTTATAAAAGAGATCATAATCTATATTTAACTTATAATCTTCTTGTTACGTTCGTCAACATAGGTATCCCATTCAGCCTGATAAAAGTTCCCAGCGATTGGCGTTCCCAGCTCGTACTTCACGGCGAATTTTCGAATGTTAAAGTTCAAACGATGTTCTCTTGAAAGGGGGCCAGTCTTTGGATGATCAAAAATCAGCTTCTTGGGTTGCTTGAATAGTAGAAAGACATATCGATGTTTCTCTGTACCTTTTGGAGGCCCGGAACCCAAGTAAGCTGTAATAACCTCGCCTTCAGCAAGTTTAGATCCTTCAATGTTCACAACCAACCAATGATTAACTTCCCTAAATTTTGGTTCCTTCCTGCTTGGGGCATCAGGATCAACCATCGCTAACGTGTAATAAGTGTTTTTCTCCCTTCCCACTGCACTGTCGGTGCATTCTTTACTTGAGTAGGTGTTAATTCGTTACCCAACTCGACTTTGTGCTCCCCAAAAGTCACAGATAGTTGAGAGGCGGGCAAATGGTCAATAACATCTGAACTATTCCTTCAGCTTGCATTTTCTGCACACAATAATGAAAAAAATTATTTAATGTCTATAAAGCGGAATATTAAAAGGAAATCAAATAAAAAACTGAAGCAAAACGTGATCATTTGTAAAATTTAAGCATATTCACGTTTTCATGTTTTTCATTCATGTTTCAAATGATACAAACAATGCATTATTATGCCCAATGGTTATAATTACCAAAACAGCAGAAAACAATTTGGATTTTTCATGCTGAAAAGCCATCGTTGCGAATAGGTTAACGGTTAATAAAATATATCGTCAAACTGCATAGAATATGTCAAAAGCGTAACATATAACAAAGCACAGTTCCCTACTTTAAATAACCAGTTATGAATGAGCGATTTTCGATTGTTTTTAATGTATAAATACTTACTTTTAGCACACTGTTTTCTTCTTTCTGATCGTGATGTCCATGATGCTCTTGTGGATTTCCAATTGCAAATCCGAATATAATTGAAATGACAAGCACTTTGAATATATTGACCGCCATCATTGGCGGAAGAATTTTCGAGAATGAATGTTAATCCTATCAAGTTGTTTAAATAAATTGGTTTCAGCGTACGGAAGCCGTGTGGGGAGGTAAAAGTTGTTTAACTTGTTATACTTATTCAATATGCATAATAAAATACTATGATTTGAATATTACGTGACGTTAAGAAGTACCTGGTTGTTGCTTGCAACTGTTATTAATCAGTAATCAAGCTATTTATACTAGTTACAATAGATAAATAATTTGATCGAGTAATAAGATACGAAAAAACAGTAGCAACAATGTATCTCGATTAATTTATTGCATCGTTGAAGCTGGCGTCCTTTTGAAGCAACAGTGCATTAAATGATCAAATAAGAGGATCAAGGTGTTGAATTGCACTACAAATATAAAACATGAACAAAATATTGAAAACAATTCCTTAAAAGTGGCACATGGCTGCAAGCACCTGGTGTGTTATATTAATAGAAGAAAAAAACTTTTGTCTCTTTTTTTGGCTACGTCGTGCGTTCAATGTTTACTAACAACTTTTATTTTCAGCACTGATTTTTGCTAGTCATGATGCATACCTAGATACAAAATAATCATAATTTTTAGTTGGGGTATGCACGATTAAATTAAGCTAAGTATATATTTGCATTAATGGCAATCATCGGTACAGTCTTCTTTATTATCCATACAATATATCTCAAAGATCCCTTTTCGATCCGGATCTCACATAAGCGTTTAGGTAGATTGATGCCGCATTGGTTTTCACCAAAGATTCGCATCCACTTTATGTACACTGTGTACTTACGTTATACGTGTTTACACACGCGTCGGTTTTATATTTTTGCTTCGGTTCAAGCTTTATGGCAGATCCTGTCATCATTCACCGCTTGACATTTCTGCTGAGCTGTGTTGTGATTGTTGCTTCTAGGTTATTTCGAGCCGAAAATTTCACGTAAAAACGGAAATGTTTTATTAGAAGTAAGTCTGCGCCGTGCGAGACCAACACGAAAAGAATCCTTCCCCGTGTTTCTTTTGAAAATTGTGTTCTTGAGAGCATCTTTATCGAGTGTTTTGGTGCCCAACATAACAAAGCGACAATGAAAGTGACCGTCACGACACTAACGGATTACATATTCGTCTTGGACGTTGCCGACGACTTGGAGCTAGAGAACTTCAAAGCTTTCTGCGAGGTAGAAAGCGGTTTTCCTTCGTCGGAAATCGTCATCGCCTTCAATGGCCGTCCCTTGATGGATAATAAGATGACGCTGAGGGACCATGGCATCAAGGATGGCGACGCGGTCATCTTACAACACATGTTACAACAACCAGCCTCGCAGACTGACTTACAAGGTATTCAAATTCGAAAACTTAAGATATTCCAGTTACAATTTGTAACAACAACTGCAATATCATCTTTTTGGGTAGCATTTGGTTTATATGCACATGTTTTTATAAACAGCACCTAATTTAGACTTCAGTGCAATACAAGTGCCCAACTTTATGAGAAACAATCGTGCAGTTCCACCAGCGCCATCAACGCCACCAGTGGTTTCTCTAGCTGGCAGAACCGCCAATGAAGATGATCCTGTTATGATTAGGGATATGTTTTTGGCGAATCCAGATCAGATGGCTTTGCTCAAACAGAATAATCCCAGGCTTGCAGATGCTTTACTATCTGGAAATCTTGGTAAATTATCCCAATTGTAGATGTTCCTGAAGTCACTAGTCTTATTTTCATGTTAGAATTGTTTGCAAACGTCCTAAAGGAGCAAGTAGCCGCGCGACAGGAACGGGAAAGGCAACGTCTACGTTTACTAAATGCACACCCCTTCGACACAGAGGCGCAACGGCTAATTGCAGAAGAAATTCGTCAGAAGAATATTGAAGCCAACATGGAGGCAGCGATGGAGTACAATCCGGAGTCATTCGGTACAGTTGTAATGTTGTACATTCATTGTCGTGTGAATGGGCATCCTGTCAAAGCATTCATTGATTCAGGTATATAAAAAAGAGTAGGAAATTAAACTTTATACAAAGCCGTTGTATTATAGGTGCACAGACTACGATTATGTCTAGTTCATGCGCTGAACGATGCAACATTATGCGACTTGTTGACACCCGATGGGCCGGTATTGCAAAAGGCGTTGGCGTACAACGTATAATCGGCCGTATTCACATGGTGCAAATTCAAATCGAAAAAGACTATCTGACCACTAGTTTTTCGGTGCTAGAAGAACAACCGATGGATATGTTATTAGGGCTTGATATGCTTAAAAGACATCAAGTAATGATTGTTATTCTTACTTTAATAATATACCAATCAGAACGTATTTTTTTTAGTGTTCAATAGATCTCAAGACAAATGTACTAAGGATAGGAACAACGGGTACAGAAACAAAGTTCTTGTCGGAAGCGGAACTGCCAGAGTGCGCTCGACTCAGTTCGAACTCAGAGGATGAGATTATGAAAGAATCACGTAAGACTGCGGAAGAATTAGACCTGCAAAAAGCAATCAAACAGAGTATCAGAGAAAGTACGTATCACTCAGGGTTTTGTTAAAACAAGGTTTGCTTATAGAAGCGGTGCGCAATTCCAAGCGCAAAGAAAGCTCGCCCCGAAACCGATCATCAGAAAGAAAACGCCACTGACGTTTGAAATCCATAGACGAACTACTTCTTATCCTACTCCATGATTCCACAAAAATAACAATTCCTCAGCAGTCTTCTGCCTTGTCTTTTTTTTTTTTACTTAGTGATGTATAAACGATATATTTTTAGATGACGGGGCAGGATCAAGCGCGATAGCAACTCCAGTAACATCTGCCGCACCAATCTCGGAAAATGACGTTGCCGACCTTATGACGATGGGTTTTCCTCGCGAACAGGTTGTTGAGGAACTCAGGCGTTTCGATGGCGACAAAACGAAGGCCACAGCAGCGCTCTTCGCCAAATCATTGCAGTTTTAACAGGAGATTTAATCAGCCGCTAGTTGCGCAAAGCAAATCGTCTTACTACCTCTTGCATTTGGACGAATGTTGCCTTTCTGTTTCATTTTGTCACCTTAGATTTCCTCAAGGTGATGGGAGTATGGCCCGTGATGTCTGTCAGGTTTTCTTTCTTTTGCGGTTTTTTCTTCTTTCGTTAATAATTAGGGATTGAGCTTAGCTTTATACACTTTTATAAACAATGTAGTTTTGTACGCACGACGAACATTATGGAGTCTAAACTTGAATTGTTGACAATTTCATCACTAGTTGCAACTAATTCGTCAGATTTTTGGTAATATTAAGGTTGTGTTATCGCATAATGCTCAATACAGAAAACACACACACTAAAAATAAATATTTACTTTAACATGTGTTTTATAAAAGAACCTATAAAGCGTACCCACATATACGCAAGAGCAATCCATGAAATACAAAAACAAAATATTCCATTATTTAAAAAAATTTGTATAAACGCACCTTAAGCACCAATTTTGTCGATTTCATCGGCATCCTCGGCGTTTAAGAATTGAATTTTCTTATTGAAATGTGTCTCGATGGCACGACATATAGCTTCAGTATTAGGGCCATCAACGAGATTAATAGCAATCCCATGCTTACCGAAGCGACCAGTGCGACCGATTCTGTGTAGATATGTTTCACAATCTGCTTGCCCTCTAACGTCCACAGGTAAGTCGAAGTTCACCACGATTGTTACTTGTTCAACATCAATGCCTGTAATAATGATTGACGACATATTAAGTGATATAGTATGAAAAATTTTTCAAGTTTCGAAATTTTTACCTCTAGAGAGAACATTCGTTGTTATGAGAACCTTTTCTTGGCCATTTCTGTAACGATCCAAAACGCTAATACGTTGTTCGACAGTCTGATCACCAGTTAACAACGCGACAGCATGACCTTCCTTAGACATCTTCTCGGAAAGCCAGGTGGCCGTTCTACGCGTGTGGCAAAAGATAATCACCTGACCAGCACCCACCGTGCCGTAGATATTTATCACTGCGTTATATTTCTGCTGCTCGTTTGCACACTTAACATAATATTGCTTAATATTATCCAGGCTTTCTTCCTCGCGTTTTAGACGGATAATGACCGGGTTAGTTACGATGACTTCCGCGAATTCCATTACTTCTTGATCGTAGGTGGCAGAGAAGAACATCATTTGGCAAATATCCTTATTAATATTTCTATAAAATAAAAATTAATTATTTTACTGAGTTGAAACCGTGAATTAATTATTTACTTGTGAATTCGAATACACTGATCCTGATGTCCTTGTGTTGCAATCATGACATCAGCTTCATCAAGCACAAACACTCGTATTTTTCGTAAATCAAATACTTTCAGTTTAGTTGCCCAATCTAACACTTTTCCTGGAGTGCCAATGATGACTTGTTCTTCAACTCGTGAACCTCGAGCGAGTTCCTCACCCCTAACGGCATAACGCAGCTCAATATCAGGACAGAATTTTCCCATCTTGGCTGCAACTTCCCCAGTTTGTATTGCAAGCTCATACGTTGGAGAGAGACATAACACTTGAGGATATTTATCATTTGGATTGACTCTACTCAACATTGCCAAGACAAATGCTGCTGTTTTGCCAGTGCCAGATTGAGACTGAGCAATTAAGTTTTGTGGCGGCTCAGCTAGTAGTGTTGGGAGTGCTGCTTCTTGGATTTTGGACGGAGCATTGAATCCCATACCATATACACCTTTTAATAATTCTTGGCGTCTATTACAAATTAATGAATTAGGATACCTGATTTTATATTAGTTTAACTACATACAAGTTAAGTGCTTCAAAGTTTTTGACTGAATATAATGGAGATGTTGGATCTCTTCTCTGAACTTCTAAGTCATTCTTGTTTTCTACCAGTCCATTACGAATAATTTTTTGTAGGAGGCTCACTTCAGCCGGGCTGAACTGTTCTTCATCATTGCCCAATTTCGGTTTATGCCCAGACGCACCAGTGCTAGGTTGAGCATTTTGATCAATGTTAACCGTCGCTAACTAGAGATGTAGGTTATGCTTTTTTAGTTTATGTAAATTCTTATTAAATATTGAATTGTACCTTGTTTGTGACAAGTTTTTCCTGCTCGGAAACATATTTGGACCAATCGACATTCTCTGACATGATGCTTGTTAATGTATGTATTATAACTTTGGACTGCTCACAGATAATTAACGAAAAAATGCATAAAACCGCTCGAATCTCGAAATTTGCATGTAGTATGTATGTTCACTACATGGGTATACGTCGTTTCGTTCCCGTCGATTCGTCGTGAATCGTTTCTTCTCGAGTCTTTTCCGGCGAGTCGATTCGCCGCCACACAAATAAATAAATAACGGACGTTTCCCTGCAAAACAGTCCCTCGGAAATTTTGAAGAACGTTAAATTGATTATAAGACTGCACGAAACATGTTAAAAATTAAATTTGTATCACGACACGAAATTTAAAAACGCAAATTAGAATATATTCAGTATATCGTTCTTGTTTTACCTTTGGTTTCATGAAAATTGTTTACCAGTGATCATCAGGCATGCATTCAATTAAAATCCAATATGCAATAAACTCAATTTATATTAATACTTTAATATCATACAACATACATCATACATTTGTGAATTTTTAGCAACTGTTTCAACAAATATTGCGCACTCCAATGACGCAGTAAGCTAGAAACATAGGTCATTTTTAAAATTTATGTGACAGCGAATCGACTCGGGACGAATATGTGCCGCGGAGAATCGTCTTGCCGCGAAATACGTATACCCAAAATAAAACTGCAGGTGGCGCACTGTCGTTTCGAAGCGCGCTAAACTATTGTCATACCTCAAGGTCTAGCTATGTTCATAACCTAATATAAGCTTGTAAAATATTTGTCACCGATTATACATTCTTTAGTTTTCTGGCGGTCCGAAGAGAAGTTTATAGACTACGTTTATCTGTCCATATATCGTTTCTTTATACATAATAATAGATTTCTTAAAAGTAATTGTTGCGAATATCAATTTCCATACTACGCAATTTCAAGGAAATTTGATTACTTGCAAACATGTCAAGGGTAAGAATGATGTTAAATAAATTTGAATTAAAGGTAATTAATGTTTTGTAATATACAGGATATAAGATCTTTCTTCAAACCTCTACAACATAAAAAGAAAGCACCAGTTTTATCTGATGATGAAATCATAGAAGATAGTCCTGCAGCAAATAACAAGAAAAACAAAACCCCCAGAGGCAAATCAAAACTTGTACCAATTTCACCAACCCATGATAAATTGAAGCCTGTGAATGCAATGGATTTGTTTGGCAAATCTCCTGTGAAACAAAGTAAATTGGAAGGTAAAGTCAAAGGTGACAAAGAATTGAAAAGAAAAAGTGATTTTAATAAAACTGTACAAGATCTGGATGATGAAATGGATTTTGATTGGAATGACTTGGATAAAACAGTTGAAGAGACACTTAAAGTGAATCCAAATGCAAATTGTACTAAAACACCAATTACCCCCAAGGTTAAGGCAAATGCTAAAAAGCGAAAGGCTGAGGATCTTAATGAATCTTCCATTCTTAGTGATCAGGAAAAATTTGAAATCAAGCAAAGCAACTATATGAGGTATATTAATAGGGGTGATCCACCAAATAAAGGGAAAAAAGAATTACCTGAGGTATGTATAAAATTTTAAATAATACAGGTATATTTATATTGAATGTATTTTAGGGTTCATTTACATGCTTGGCAGGTTTATGTTTTCTTAAAACTGGAGTTTTAGATTCACTAGATTCTGAAGAATTAAATACACTGGTGATGAAATGTGGTGGAAGAACTGTGAAAGCAGTATCTAGTATGTTTGGAATGATTATTATTCAATCATGTTTTCAATAACATTATTTATTTTAGAGAAAGTCAATTACTTAGTGGTAGGTGAAGAGCCTGGCCCTTCCAAACTAGAAAAAGCGCGTAGCCTCGGTATTCCAGAAATATCTGAAGATGATTTATTAGACATGATTCTTGTTAGGTCTGGAAAATCAGCTAAATACAAAAATGCTGCAAATAATGGCAATGGAATGAAACATTCTCCGGAACAAGAAGCACCAAATAAAAAACGGAAAATAGCTGTGGATGATTCACCTAAAAAACGTAAAGCTGAATTACCTATGATTAATGTCACACCAAAGAAGGCAAAAGAAACGCCAAGTAAAATAGTAATTGAACATGATTCAAGCGAAAGAAAAACTTTATTGCCGCGAACATCACCCAGGAAGTCTAATAAACTATTAGATTCTGAAGTTAAACAAGCACCTATCACCCCCACAGTTAATACCGTTACTAAAATTATGTCTACACCTAGTGTGAATGTGGTTAAAATATCAGAAGATAACAAATCATGGACTGAGAAGTATAAACCAGCAAATATAAAGGAAATTATTGGTCAACAAGATAAAGATAGCAATATGAATAAATTAATGTATTGGTTGTCGCATTGGAACCAATGTCATGGCGCCGGTAAAATGTTAAAACTGACTAAACCGTCCCCTTGGGAGAAGAACAATAACGGTTCATATTTCAAAGCCGCTCTTTTGAGTGGAGCTCCTGGTGTAGGAAAAACTACAACCGCGACCCTTGTTGCAAAGGAACTTGGCTATGATGTTGTGGAGTTTAACGCTTCGGACACACGGAGCAAGAAACTTTTGCAGGAGGAAGTCACAGCTCTTCTGAGCACAAAATCATTGATTACATATTTTCAAGATGGTAGTGCACCAACCAATAAACATGTTTTATTGATGGACGAAGTTGATGGTATGTCCGGAAATCAGGATAGAGGAGGCATTCAGGAACTGATTGTATTGATCAAAAACTCGAATATACCTATTATTTGCATTTGCAACGATCGCCAACATCCAAAAATTCGATCTTTGGCGAATTACTGTTTTGATTTGAGATTTAACAAAATCAGACCTGAAGTTATTAGAGTAAGTTATTATATTAAACAAAACATATAACTATATCTACCTAATAATATATTTGTTAGGGAAATTTGATGAGCGTTTGTTTTAAAGAAGGTGTAAAAATTAAATCGGATGCATTATTGCAAATGATTGTATCCACCGGAAGCGACATCCGACAAACTTTGAATCATTTATCCATGTGGTCCGCCACAAACAAATGTATTTCTAATGATTCACTACAAAAAGATGCAGATGCTTCAAAAAAAGATGTTGTTCTGGGACCTTGGGATGTTATAAGGAAAGTTTTCACTGCTGATGATCAAAAGACGAAAATGGACGAAAAATCAAAATTGTTTTTCTATGATTACAACATTGCACCGTTATTTGTACAAGAGAATTATTTACAAGTTCAGCCCAAGTGAGTTATATACATGGTCATACCACGCCAAATCGGACATTTTGCTCGTCCGCTTTTATGTTGTAGTATTGGTTGAAAAAGCCTGCATGATTTTACAAATGAAATATTTTACACTATTTTACAAAAAAAATATGGCAACTTTTTTCCAACCAATTGTATAACATAAAAGTTGTGATATTTTGTTCAATTTGACGTTAAATCTTCCATATGACTATAGAAATTTAAAATCATACTATTTTGTTAGTGGTAAGAATCCGTTAAAATGCGCTGCATTAGCAGCAGATGCCATTAGTATGGGAGACGTGATTGAAACAAAAATTCGTTCGTCTAATAACTGGGAACTATTGGATTCTCAAGCATTTCATTCGTCTGTCATGCCAGGGCATTACATGTCTGGAAAGTTTAGAGCGCAAATCATGTTTCCTAGTTGGTTGGGTAAAAATTCGAAAGGTGGCAAGTTCCGACGTTTTGCTACCGAATTACACAGTCATATGAGATTGAGGTAATTCTTAAAAACATTAATTGTGCATTAAAATAGTGTTATCAAAATATAAATCATTTGCAGCGCTTCCACTTCTAAAGATGCTATAAACTTAGATTACATCTACATGCTGCGTGATAATTTTGTCAATCCATTAATAATGTCTGGTATTCATGGTGTAAGCGAATCATTGCAGATGATGAAAGATTACAATTTGCTGCGAGAAGATTTAGATAGTATTCTTGAACTGGCGCAGTGGTCAAAACAGAAGGACCCCATGTCTAAGGTGGAAAGCAAGGTAAAGCTTCTGATATACATTGAAGTTATCTAGTATCACCGTTTTGTTTAACTTTAATTAGGTCAAAGCCGCATTTACTCGTGCTTACAATAAGGATGCTCCAATTCTGCCCTACTCTATTGATACCGTTTCGAAGAAAAAATCAGTAGTTAAAGATGATGTATACGGAGAAGAAGATGATAATAATGATTCGGACGAGGATGATGATGACATTGGAAATGATGCTATGATTAAAGTATAGTACACCTATTTATACATATATTTTAGACGGAGTAACTAAACCTTTGGTTGCAGGCAAAGGCGAAGACTAAAGCAAGAGGTAAAGCTAAAACTACGGAATCTGCCCCAATTTCGTCCACGTCAAGTAGGCAAGGCACGGCTGAAGCCACAACAAGCAAAAAACCTGGTACTAAAGGTAAAGGCAAGAAAGCCAAATGATCCATATTTATTTTGTAGTCTCAATACACACGTCACTTGTTATTTCTATGTTTTTATTGTTTATTTTTTAATAATTATTCGTATTGTCATATAATACCATCGTGCCATGTTTGCCAATGTTTGGCACAATGAGTAAGCTTGCTTTCTTTTTGCTATATTGATAATTCACGCGGATATTAGTGAATTATTAGGACTAGTATTTTTGTATATTGCTATAACTCGCTGTATTACTGTTAACTTGATTAAACCAAGTACATCTTAATATTTATCTTACTGTGTATGTATTTTATTTATATTATCAATATGGATATGACGATATATTTATCGGTACGATAAATAATGCATAGTATTGCTCGCAATTAGAATCCGACTTTTTGTTTTGGTTTAGAGATAAGGATTTTTGTTAAATTAACGTAATACTATCGACTTGAACAAGGTTTCTCATACTTATGGCTCCAAGAAACCTTGTTTTAATTTTCAGATGACAGCAAACCTCTTAACTAACTAATTAAATCCTCCCATAAGTAAGATAATAACATAATTGAGGTAACAAGTAGGTATATTATGTAAACTTATCGCGAACGCCCTACCATCGAATGGCAAACCCCTAGGGGTTCGCCTATCCCACATTGAGCAACCCTGGACTAAAACATAGCTAGATTTGTTCCCCCAAATTATAAAGTTTATTTTTGCGTGATTTCGGTGATTAACACCTTTCCGTTTTTGCATTGCGCATTCACATTCACTCGTAACATCTCTAGTTTTTTTTAGTAAACGTAATTCAGTTTTATAAATTTTATTCAGGTGTTAATAAATTATTATAAAACATCCCTAGTTCTTAATATTTTATTTATTGTGAGTAAAACCTATAGACAGGAAGATATTGATCTCAATTGTAAATGTAGATGGCGCTATTCTACAATTTCTTTGTTGGTTTAGTAGCATAACCTTACCATTCCGTCATAACAATGAATCAGGTGGAACACAAGAAGTGAAATTATCCAGAACTTTGATTTGTTCATCTGTTTCAAAAACTAAAGCACAATGCTTGGCCCAATACCCGACGAAATCAAAGGCATCCAGCACTACATGAAACTGGCAGAAGATCATGATGTCAGGAACATTTTGGTTTCATACTATGGTAAGCAGAACAATTGCAACCAATTACATATTAACTATAACCTGTTTATTTCTTTATTTGTAGCGCGCATGTCGGCTATACAAGTAGCAATGAAAATTATCCCTGGAGCAAAACCACCAGAGGTGTCTAAATACCTAATGGGTATCATGGATTGGTTGGAAACAACCAAGAGAGAACATAAAGAACTTGAAGGTATTGCAAATGATACTGTTGCACAAGCTCTGATTGAAGATTACACACTCAAAATATATAATGTGGCTTATCAATGTGATTGTAATGGAAAGTTTACAAAGTAAGTTACAAAATAATTTTGTTAAATTATTGACTAAATTGAATTCTTCCAGGAATGTTGTTAAAGCTTATTATACAGCTGGATTACTTTGTGAAGTTCTACAACAATTTGGTCCTTTATCTGAGGAAATTGAAGAAAAGGGCAAAATATCCAAGTACAGAGCCACATATATCCACAACATGCTAAAACAAGGACTCCCTCCCCAAAGGATCAATGTTACTGTTGTTGATTCTGATGAACAAGAAGCTGAACATATGTTAACACATGATGAGATCAACGAGCGGCGAAAACAACGCGGCGAGGATCCTTTACCACCAAGAGAAACATCCTCTGAGGATATTCCTTTCATGATGCCCAATGTAGAACAAGTTCATATTTAAATATTGCTTACATTTAATTTCCTCTCATTTGTATTTATAGATGAATGATGACTCAGAGCCAAATTATCAACCAGAAACAATGGCCCCTGAGAAGATTATCGACGACGGTGAACCATCCAATCCAATATTACCCAGTGCCGGTCACCAGTTTAGCAATGTCGCTGATAACATAATGCGGAACTTCAGAGATCAACCACCAGATGAACCGAAACGACCAGCACCAACAAGTTTCCCACAAGTTCCACAACCGACATCCTCAGATGCATCGTCTGTGGCAGTTTTGGATCCCGACCAGACTGAAAAGGCTGTCAAGTACTGCAAGTGGGCTTCGTCGGCATTAAACTACGATGACATCGGTACAGCGATTGTAAACTTGGAGCGCGCGTTGCACTTATGCCGGTTTGGACAAGAGAAGCCTTAATATCGAAATCCGAAAAACAAATTATAGTTAACAATATGCACTAATATTTAGACTTACAATTCAACAAGTCTTAGTTTAGGAGAGCTTTTGGTTACATGTAAGTAACTTTATTCTTTACCCTCTGAAGCATCCACTATATAGCATTAATTATAAATTAATAAGACAGAACATCAATAACAATATTTGCTATTTCCCATGTATTATTTTATTACAATGTTGTTGTGTACTTGCAAATAAATTATTTTATTACTCTGCTTGGATTATTTACTTATTTTCTTAAATTAATATGATTTTCTTAAATTAATCATCAGGAGAAGGTTTTTTTGATTCCATTTCCTGCTCAATTTGTGTTGCAGTTTGATCAAACTGCATCAAAAGCACTTCCAAACTGCTTAGAATATCATTATACTTATTGATGGTTTCCAACACCTGCTTACTGCTAGCTGTACTCTCCAAATGTGTATTTACATTATTGGCAATGATTGTATCCAACTTCTCACTGAGTTTTGTAGTATTTGCAATTGCATCAGAGTCTACAACTTTTTCTACTCTCTGAAATTCCTTTAACAATACACCCAAGTTCTGTAACTCTGAATGCAACAGTAAAATATATTTTCTCTTGGTTTCTATTTCAATGTTATTATTAGAGTATGTTGGGTCCAAGAATTCGTTGAGTTCTGGAAGTCGTTCGAGGACGTGTACAATGTTATCATGACCAATCAGAGATGATTTGATCATAGTATGAGCATTGAGGAGAGCTTCAACAACAGTGATTTTCGTATCCAAGGGTGAAATTTCGCCGAATACAACCTTCTCCATTTCGGCAACACGTTTTTCTAATGCTGTAAGAACGTGTTCGTCCATACTTTGGAAGATTTTATTTTTTTAATGCACAATTTTGCGACTTCGAACGTATAGTAACATACGTGACATAAACTCTCTAGGTTAGAAACAAGAGGTGATTCATTCAAGGTCAGGTAGGGATTTACAAATGTTAGCAACCATTTCATACCGTAATTAACTAATATTAATTCAATTGATGTACAATTTTAAATTAATATAACTATGGATTACGTATTTAACGAAGAAGATATAAATATTACGTACATCTGAACGTATTCTTTCATAAATATAAAGGGTGAGCACACCATTTTAAAACAATATTGCAATAATACTACAAGAAACTACTATTTTCGAAAATGAGAAACATCACTGAATTTAATCAAACGATCGAATGAATCTTATTCTACTATTAAATATATAATAAATTAACATCTCAAAATTCAGATAATCACAAATTTTGCCTACTTTTCGTTACCGTAGAACAAAATCAGCGGTATCAAGGGTTAAAACAGTTAGCGAATTATTTGCCTAATTTAAGCAACCCTATTCCAAATCTTGGAAAGATCAAGAATTCATAGAGATTCCATATACCCTGTGTAGTATACCGGCGCATCCTTTGCGCCGAATCACTCACGCAAGTTTTACATCTGAGCTATCGTGCAGGTCGACCCAGTAAGCTCCGCATTCTCCCTCCCGAAGAGTGTATCATGGCCGACCAGTACAGTTCGCTATGACGAACCGCAGTGGATCTTCGCCACAAATTACCAAAGTAAATAGATAAGTAATAAGTATTTACACATCCAGCACACATTTTCATAGAGCTAGTGAGCGTAGTGTCGAGTAGTGATAGTTTTTGTTGCATGCTAACTTATCGATCCGTAGAAATGTTCACTTTTTCCCAGCGCCGTTTTGCGCACGTGTTTGCACTCTTCCGGTGCAGCATCTCGTGTTTTTATTATTCCTTTATTTTAGCCATGTCATAGTCACCTAATAGTATGTGTGATATATTAGTTTGTGGTTTATCATCGTTTTAACGTGGTTTCGTTGAGTATTTCACTAATAATTGATATACAGCCGAAAAAATCAATATCACCGTTGAGTTTATTTGCGTGCGGGCCCGTCCAGTCGTATGTTCGTATGCGTGTGTTTGATTCCCGCGCGAATTCGCCCAAGATGTTTATTTGCTCAGTGAATCGTCCGAAGCGTCCATGCGGATGAATGTTATGAACATTTATTGATTCGAAGCGTGCAAAATTGCACGGAATTGTATTTCCTTATGTTCCTACATCGATTCATATGCTGTTAGTTATACAGTCCAAACTGTAGAAGTCTAGAATGCATCCAAACTAAAATTAGAAGCTTGTGAATGCAGTGCATTCCGCTTTGTCAATTTGCCGCATGGCGAGATCATGCAGTGCAAAAGTTCAAGCCTGTTGCCGCGATTGTCCTGATGTTTTTTTTTGTGCTGGTGAAACGTGAATTTTCACATAATTTTTCCAATGCCAAAGTTCGTTGGAATAATGACTCATCTAGTAGTTATAGTCTACTTGCAGTCCTTTTGCGCAATGTTACGATTGCGTCATAATACTTGAGAAACCAAAAAAGAATCGATATTTTTGACGTAAACGAAATAGTCAAACTTTTATCATTCTAAGAATAATTGTTATGGTTGTTACCGGCTTCCGGTTATAGTGGCTATGTCATTGATGTCTTGAAGAATTTTTTTAGCTTTGTAAATTGTAGCGTTCGTTATTCGTGCGATGATTGAAGAGTTCTCACACGTGCCGTAATCACGAGCCGGCTCGTTTTTGTAAAGCATAATTTTAGAACGAAGATTGTCGCATCACTCCGTGGTTTGCCGCAAATTACAAAACTCCAAGGATCGCATGCCGATAATTACACTCTGCTTGTTTTTTTTATTGTAAGCCATTTCTGCTAATACATAATAAGTATCATTTTTTTTGTTCTTTACAACCGATACTTCTGTTACTACTGCTTTAATTAAAAACAATTTACATTAGCTCTGTTCATACCACACAATAAAGGCATTTTAGTTAGTTTAGGCCCGGTCATAATGACGCCAGTGATTCAGCGAGATGATTCGCGAAAAACATCAGTGTATGATCGTGCATTCCCCACACAAGCCTCATTATCCTTAATTAAACCTATTGACCTTAAAAAATGCGTCGAATTTGTTATATTGTCAGGCCTGCGAGATGCGCGAGTGCACAATCACCGGTGTCGCGTTGCAATCACATTCGGGATCGCTGTTACGCGATTTCATAGAAATTCAAAAGTGCAACTCACACTATTCGTCAGGTGCTATTACCAAAGCAGCTACGCTAGCAAAATTTATTTATAACAAAGTTTTGCCGGCACGTGCACAGTGTCCCGTGAACCATACACCAACAATCGCAATCTGGTTGCAAAAAAGTTTGTCCAACTTTGGTTAATTTGTATTAAGCAGTAATTGTTTAAATTTTTTTATTATACAATTTCTTCCTTGGTTGCAGAATAACAACGCCAAAATGATCAAACAAAAGTGAGCAGTTTAACATCATCAAAGCACTATCTACCAATCACACGCCGCACTTTTGAAAATCAAGCGAGGTGATTTTGTAGGCTGATCGCTTGTAAAATCGAAAAACATTAGTAAACAACATGCTGGAGGCGTACTCAAGTGATCTAATATGGTTGATCGTTCTGGGATTCATCATAGCGTTCGCACTGGCCTTCGGTATTGGAGCAAACGATGTGGCCAATTCGTTCGGGACCAGCGTGGGTTCCAAAGTGCTGACCATCACGCAAGCATGTATCCTGGCCACCATATTTGAAATTGCTGGAGCTGTACTTATTGGTGAGCTTTGATGATTGGTTATGTTTGTTTTATATTCTACCTTATATTATATTCAGGTTATAAGGTTTCTGACACGATGCGAAAAGGAATTTTGGATGTATCGGTATACGAAGATTCCGAAGTAGAGTTGATGATTGGTTGCCTGAGTTCGTTAACTGCTAGTGCCATTTGGTTACTGGTAGCTACTTTTTTTAAGCTGCCAATCTCGGGCACTCACAGTATCGTTGGAGCGTCTATTGGTTTTAGTTTAGTCGCGAGAGGCACTCGTGGATTGCACTGGGCTACACTGGCAACCATTGGTAGGTTTCTTCTTATGAATATATTTTCTAGTTTTGTAATCATGTTTTTGTAATAGTCGGTTCCTGGTTTATTTCGCCTGTACTCAGCGGTCTGACATCTGTAATTATCTTTACTCTCATTAAATACGCCATCTTACGACGCGACAATCCTGTCGAATCTGGTTTAAAATGGCTACCGGTCTTCTACGGCTTCACCATCATTGTAAACGTGTTTTCCATCGTGCACGACGGTCCTAAGTTACTCCATATGGACAACATCCCATTATGGGCTGTGTTTGCCATCAGTCTTTCAGTTGGAGTAGTGGCAATGATCATCATTCTCATCGTTGTCGTTCCCTGGCAGCGACAGTCCATCATAAAGCTAAATGAAAATCAACGGCGCGCCAACTTCACCATGGGCGAGTCAATAGAAAACTCCCCAGAGGGCAGCCCAAAGAAGTCAATTAGGAACTCCCAGATTAGCGAGCGCAATCTTTCTGTTATCAACGAAACGAACGAAATGAGTCCGCTGGATCCAGCCAATGCAAATAAGTACCAAAAGGGGAAGCAGTTAGCTATCGTCAACAGTACCACGTCAATGATTACTGAAATCAATCCAACCCTCTCACCAAACTCAAGTGGTGTACCGCTGATCATTAACAAAAGTGTTGTAAAGAAGCAAAATGATGAGAGCATTTGTGCTATCGAGATGCAGAAGAATCCAGAGCTTCTTGAAGAGAACAAGGGTGTGTCGAAACTTTTCAGTTTCTTGCAGGTGCTCACTGCTATTTTTGGTAGTTTTGCTCACGGGGGCAACGACGTTAGCAATGCAATTGGTCCATTGATTGCACTCTGGCTTATTTACACCGAGGGTTCGGTGCAGCAAAAGAGTGAAACACCTTTATTTATTCTGTTGTACGGTGGTCTGGGGATTTCGGTTGGTCTATGGTTATGGGGACGGCGTGTGATAAAAACTATTGGTGAAGATCTGACTACCATTACACCATCGACGTAAGTACATTCAGAGAATGACACCAAATATGATGATTATCAATGATTTTTGTTTTACAAATTGAAGGGGGTTTACCATCGAAATCGGCGCAGCGTTTACCGTTTTATTAGCGAGCAAAATCGGCCTGCCGATCTCAACCACGCATTGCAAAGTAGGCTCCGTGGTCTTCGTCGGATATTTCAGCTCATCGAGGCAGGGAGTAGACTGGTCACTTTTTCGGTAGGTACAACCTAATCTACCATATAAAAATATCTATACAAATGTTACAAATGTAGTTACATAACTTAACAGTTCTCATATATTTTCAGAAACATCATTTATGCGTGGGTCGTTACCGTCCCTGTTGCAGCGTTACTTTCTGCTGGGTGCATGTATGCATTACAGAAAATAGTACTTTAAACTGCCTACAGCAATTGCAAAGCAAAATGCACTTATCTATTCTTCACTTTTCCCGCCAATTTAATATTCGACTTACACGGCGCGCTGTTCCACCAAACTTCAGTAGCCGCAGCGCGCCGTGTACATTCGACTTTAAAATGACTATTATTTATTGGTAGCATGTTAATTTAATTACTTCATTTAATATTTACTTACATTCTTTTAATTTATTAACTCTCATGGATAAGTTCTTTACATTATATTATTTTTGATCCATACAAAATACAGCAATCGGTGTGTACTTATTGTAATTTGTTATAACGTTTACTATGCTTCGAGAATTACGTAAACATTGCAAATGCAACAAGGGAGGGTACTGCGAGGGTACTCGGAACAATTAAGACTATAAGAAAGCTAAAACAAACAAGTAACTGTGATTGAACTGTTATTAAATTCGATCTATGCAGGATCAAGTAAAACCGTGACTATACACAGCAGCGCATAGCCGTAACAACCTGTGCACGAAAGTAAAATCGACTGTCTGTGACTAATTTAATATTAATTATCTCTTGTGGGTGAAAGATTGTTATTGATTGACCTCGCAAATCCTGAACGATGGGGCAGATTGCTACTGAATATATGTATTGTTAAATGAATGAATATGATTCATAATATTGTGAAATGGAGAACGAAACCACAACTGTTAAAAAAAAAACGACAAACGAAAACAGGCATGTACGGCAAACGCTATATTTTCGGTTGATGTTCCAAAGAAATTATGTTTTAATAAAGATAAAAGGTCTATTTTTTCTAAAAAAAAATATGAGATACCAGAAGGGCTAATGTATGTAAAGCTATCAAAGTACGAAAACTGGCTGTAACGTGACATCAATTTGAAACTGGTATAACAAAGTCAATCAAAGAGCAAGTCCAAATGATCGAAACGTTTAGTAAAAAATAAAGAGTAGATATGCTTGCATAAACTAACAAAGCTGACACAATTTATAACTACGCAGATTTTGAATATGAAATACACGCGATTTTAAATCAATATTTGTAACCATCGGTCAGTAAACTAAACCACAACACAAGGCGTCAGAAGTACGAATGAGTAGTTAATGAATGTACAAACTTATGCGATACGCGATTGCACAATACGTGCATGAAATGCGTTTTTGATGAAGCGGAATTGAATGTCGACGCGACCGTTAGCTGCAGTGGATGTTACATAACTAATTGTTACAAATACTTACAATTAACGATAAATGTGTACACTATAACATTTTGCAACAACATGTTGCATTATTCAGATGTAATACATGACAAGTGAGAGAAGAACCACAAGTATGTTACATATTTATATTTTCTTGAATGTATGATCTCTCGAATTTTGGAAAAATAAATTCGCATCCATATTAAAAACATATCCTTGCTTATCTGCATTGTCATCAAATGAAATACAAAAAGCCGGTCTCATTTACTAACATAGTTGCTGTTTGCACAATTTATTTAAAAAAAAAAACATACTATTTTAATTTTAAGGCCAAAAATGTCACAGATTTAGAACAACCATGATAAATGTAGTTTGATATTTATATTATTAGCTTAATCATTCAAAGATCATGTGACAAGAGCAATTAAAATCTATTCTATTGGAATTTTCTAAAAAATAACAGCATTTTCTCAATCCCTAATTGTACTTGTTCTCCGCTGCGAAATAATATTTTAATCAATACTAAACATTTACAATAATTTATTTATCATCACTTAAATAAAGTCCTAATTATATGCATTGCAATAGGATTTTGGTTTCACTTCCCTATTTATATTGTGTCTTTTCTCATAAAATAGACGTACTTAAGCAGTTAATTCGTTATATGCATCTGTAACTTCAACTTAAAGTTACCAATTCATCGTTCGTGTTGTAAAACAACGGCAACGAATAAAGAAATAAAAACTCGCATTAAATCATTTAAAATTATACAAGTATTTACGTTTTAAAATTTCCTTAGCCTTTTAAATCAAATCTTAATCATTATTTTCTGTTAGCGCAAGTGAATATAATAACTACACATGAAAATTATGTGTCCTCCTCGATTGTTACCTCGTTAACGAATACTTCCTCATCGTCGAAGTTTTTCGTTGTCATTTCCTGTTCAAACAAACCCTCGTGAATATAAACCTCCTCAGGTTCACAATCAGCTTCTTCCTCCTTCACCCCACTGATTACTTCCTCGCCTATCTGTATGTCACCAACTTCATCCT